AAACAGCCCTTCTGCTTGGACTGTACCACTTAACACAGCCTATAGTGTTGGGGATAAAAAATACATAACATGGTTAGGTGTACAGGTACAAACCTGTAATCTCAGCACTTGGAAGCTGAGGCAGGAGAACGAGTTCCAGAGTAGCCTGGCCTTTACAGAGAGATGATATCTTAAAAGAAACAATGAAGGGGCTGGAAAGATGGCTCAGCGGTTAAGAACACTGACTGTTCTTACAGATGACCTGGGTTTGAATCCCAGCACCCACATGGCAGCTAACAACTGTCCGTTACTCCAGTTCCAGGGGATCCAACAGCCTCTTCTGTTTTCTGTGGGCATTGCACGGCACGGGTACACTTACACGCAGGCAATACATGCATACACATAAAATAAAAATAACAAATAAAATATTTTTAACCCCCCCCCCCAAATAAAACAGGTGAGTTAGATATCCTGGTTCTGCAAATGCCATGGATACAATAAAGACCCCAATGACCTACAAGTGATAGTTGCTATCAGGTACTTGGGCCTGCTGATTGTCCTAGGCTAGTAGGTAAGATAAAGAATGTGAGAGGTGCTGATATGGGTCAGCAGAAGAAGGCAGGGCTGCAGGGGGAGGTGGAATATGTGTGGGACACCAGTGGTCCAGTGGGGTATCTCTTGATTCCCGTTTGTGTAACTGGAATAGAAGTAGATAAGATAGAATAGTAACTATGTGCTTAGACCTCCCCCACCTGGTAAGCTCCTGAGATCCACAGAGGTGGTAGTTAAGGGTCAGGGAAATTAAAATAGATAGAACTAGGGCTGGAGAGACGGCTCAGTGGTTAACAGCATGTGCTGCTCTTGCAGAGGACCTGAGTTCAGTTCTCAGCACCCGTATCCAGAGGCTTACAACCACCTGTGACTCTAGTTTCAGAGTATCCCATATCCTCTTCTGACCTCTGAGGGTACCTGCCCACACACACACACACACACACACACACACACACACGCACACACACACACCCCATACATACATTTTTTTAAAGTACTAGAGGGATACGATGAGAACAAGTTGTGGGCATTAGGCCAATTGCAGTGACAGGGCCCAAAGTGAATTGCATCAACTTCCCTTTTCTGAGTTTCCTTGCAGGAAAACGAAAGAACTGTTCTCGGAACTAAATAAGGAAGGAGATCCATAAGGTGCTAAGGAAGGGTATAGCCAACAAAATGTGACACAACCAGGGCTTGCTTCTCAGTTTCTAGGAGTATGTTAAACTGATGGCCTACAGCTTTAGCTTCTGGGCTTGCCCGGCTTTATAGAGCCATGCTGGACTGGCAAAGACTTTCTTAATCTACGTGGAAGTCTGACTGTGCCCTCAAATCCATTTTGCTCCTTCCCTTGACTTTTTCTGTTGTTGTATTTAGGACATCTTTCCTCCTCCTCCTCTTCTTCTTCTTCTTCTTCTTCTTCTTCTTCTTCTTCTTCTTCTTCTTCTTCTTCTTCTCTTCCTCCTCCTCCCTCCCCCCTCCTCCTCCCCCCTCCTCCTTTCTTCTTCCTCGTTCTTCTTCTTTCCCCCTCACTGTATAGCCCATGCTGGTTCAGAACTCACTATGTAGCCCAGGCTAACTTCCATCTCTATATCCTCCTGCTTCATCCTCTGAAGTGCTGGGACAACAGGTGTGTGCTACCATGCCTGGCCTCTCAGTAGCTCCCTCCTGAGAAGTGTAACAGTACATATTAATATTTCAAAAAATCCCTAAATATCTTCTTTGTCTCTCCCTCCCACAACTCAAAAGTGTTTTCCAAATTATATATGATATTATGCATCTATATCTACATTTCTAAGGAACTCAGGACCCAAGTATGCTAGACTAGTATCCTACCATTGAGCAAAGTCCACAGCTCCCCACACCCCATCATTTTTCCTGACCTGGATGGAAGGGAATTATTTATTATCTGTACTCCCAAGCACTCTCACCCAGCTGGACTCTTTGTTCTTTAATTTCCTGAAATCTTGTTGCAGAAGAGTCACTGATTGCTTTGATGTGGGTTCTTTGAGTGGTGGAGCCTTTCTTGGCTCTAGGTGGACTTAACGTTGTGGGGGTGTGAGGCAGTCCCTGAAAAAATCAATGGCCTCCAAAGCCACTCAGAGCCCGTGGCTTTTGAGTTTGTTATCTCAAGCCCAAAAAGAATAAAGAAATTTGGATAAGGAGTGAACAGAGTGAAGGTAGATTTATTAAGGAAAAGTGAAAAGGACTTGGGGATGTGGGAGGGACTCCCAAGATGAGGGAGGGCTTCAAGGGAGAAACGCCGTCTTGCTGACTTGCCCAGGGCGATCTTTTTTTTTTGTTTGTTTTTTTTTTGGTTTTTTTGAGACAGGGTCTCCCTGTAGCCCCAGCTGTCCTGGAACTCACCATGTAGACCAGGCTGGCCTTGAACTCACAAAGATTCACCTGCTTCTGCCTCCTGAGTGCTGGGATTAAAGATGTGGGCCACCACGCATCCAGTGTGGTCTTTTATAAGTTTTATAGTGGGAACTGTATGGAGACTGAGGTAATCCTTTATTGGTTATTTCTTTCTTTCCATCTCCCATCTGAGATTGGACATTTTTGAGTCCACTGGGCTGACTCAGTAAGGAGTCCATAATCCTTAGGCAGTTCCTTCAGACCAGCTACTCATCCTTTTGGGGACCAGGCTATGTGACTGGCTCAGGATCCACTTTGGGCCCTGCCTGTACTGCCTAAGGGGAGAGTAAATCCTGTTTCAGCTTTACATTTGAACATTTGCTCACAGTTTCCAAAACACATGCTGGTGGAGTCAGACACTTTCTTAGATTTCTGCATATTCAGAGTGACGTATATAAGGTTAAAAGATAGTCACTAAAAACATTTAACTTACTTGATTTGATGATGAAAGTTCCCTGGAAACCTGTCAGACAGCAAACAAGGCCAAGTAGATTAAAAGACAACTGCAGAAGCAACAAGTCATCAAAAGTTAGACATCCTGAGCCCCAGGTGAGGCTGGTTTTCACAACCAAAGGCATTTTCTAGAGACAGAGAGTTGTCTACCATGGATTACCAAATTCAGGGTAATTCCCACTCATGTTTTTGAAGAATTTCTAATTGGGCAGCAAGATTTTATTTATTGATTTTCAAAAAATCATTGCATTTGGCCTTGGAGAATTGGCTCAGTGGTTAAGAGCACTGGCTGCTCTTGCAGAAAACCCAGGTTCAATTCCCAGCACCCACATAGCAGCTAACAACCATCCATAACTCCAGTTCCAGGGATCCCACACCCCCTTCTGACCTCTTTGGGCATTTGCATTACATGGGTGCACTTACATACATGCACGAATAAGCTCACACACATAAAAGAAAAATAAATAATAAACAAAATATTTAAAATTATATTTCATTATTGTGTATATATGTATGTATGTCTCTATATGTACGAGTGTGAGGGTATGTGCCATGGTGTACATAGGGAAGTTAGAGGACAACTTGTGGGAGTTGGTTCTTTCCTTCTACCATGTGGGTACCCACTAAGCCATCTTACCAACCTATATATTTATTGGTTTTTGAAACAAGGTCTCATCATGTAACTGAAGACCGGCCTCCAACATGCTACATAGCCCAGGCTGGCCTTGAATTTGAGATAATCCTCCTGCCTCAGCCCTCCAAGTGCTTGGATTACAGGCTTGCAGTCACCATGCTAAGCTATTATTAGTATTACTGTAGTATTTAATTTTGTTTTCTGTGTGATGTGTGGCTGTATGTGGAGGCCAGAGAATAATTTTTGGGTGTTTGTTTAGGCTCTGGGCATCAAACTCAGTCTGTCAGTTTGCATGGCAAGTGCTTTTACCCCTGAGCCTTGTTGCCTGCCAGTTTTTTGTTTGTTTGTTTGGTTTGTTTTTTGTTTGTTTTTGAGACAGGTCTCCCCATATCCCCAGCTGACCTGGAATTCATTATGTAGATAAGGCTGGCCTTGATCTCACAAAGATTCAGGTGCTTCTGCTTCCCTGAGTGCTGGGATTAAGACATCATCACACCCAGAACCTGCAGATTTTTATTTATTTTTTTTAAGGTTTATTTCTTATCTGATCATTTCATTTTGGAATGTTGGAAGGGAAAACTTTTCCTTTTCCAGTCTGGGTCTAGTGCTGGGAGCCGGCAAGTTAGCTGAGAGTTTTCATTATTAGAGGGAAAGACAAAACTTATTCTGATGCAGCTCAGGACACAGTCCTAAGGCTTATATATCTCAATTTAACAAGGTGGTGCAGATAGATGTTTAGTGTTTCAGTGGGAGAGTTTGGACAGTTCCTTTGGGGTTTTGTTGCCTATATTCTGGGATATATGAATAAACAGAAAACTCCCTCCGGGGTTTGTGGGTGGCCCTATAGTTCCACAGGCCTCTGCTTTCGTTAAATAGGGGAAATCTAGTTACGATTTCTTTCTGCCTCTTCTGTAGCTTCGAGGGTTTCGCACAAAAATCATCTTCACGTCAAATCTTGGGGGAAGAACCCTGAAATTTGGGGACATTCTAAGCATGTCCACTTGTAACTTCTCGCTATCAGGGGGTTGATTAAGCAGTGGTTTGGGGCACCAAAGGCTGGAGATTTTAGGAAAGACCAGAAAGGGTCAAGAAGTGTTTCTTCAAATAGCTCTCGAAAAGGCAAAGAAACGAGGAAGAGAAATAATCCCTGTTCTCCAAGAGGGGCTCGGGTTCCCAAACCCTGCGCATCAATATCTGGGACCCCGGGACGGGTTTTTGGTGTCCCCGGGGCTTCACTTGTTCGCTCAAGTTACTTCAAGTGCAGACAGCAGATAAAAAGGTCTGTACGGTGGGATGGTAGCGAGGATGGACTAACACCCTGCTTAGAGGAAGCGCTCACGAGGGTCAGCTCTTTCCGGGGTTGGGTGGGGCGGAGAGCCAGGGGACGCCTCCAGGGGCCCCCAGGATGCGTCACTCGCCTCTGGCTTATCAAAACTCCACTAGAGCCCCACGATCATTTTCACTTCCTCCTCTTTCCGGGAGCAGCCTCGCGCTCCCGGGCTGCGGGACCAGCCGAGACCCAGGGGGCCTTCCGGGGTGTCGCTGCGGCCAGGCGCGGAGCTTTCCGCGTCTTTCCATTCGCTCCGGGCCGCCGCCCACTTCAAATCTGACCCTAGGACCGGCCGGGGGAGGTCTGGCTTCTGGAAGCTGCGCTACAGAGTTGGAAAGCGAAAGCGATCTGCAAACGGCACCGCCCGCGTCCGCCCCGAGGAACACTACTAAGTTTCGATTCTCGGTGGAGCTGGGTCCCGCGCGCGGTGGCCGGAGCAGCGACAGCCCGCGAGCGTGCGTGCCATGGCAGACCCCGGGGTATGCAGCTTCATCACCAAGATCCTGTGCGCGCACGGGGGCCGCATGACCCTGGAGGAGCTGCTGGGAAAGATCGCGCTTCCCGAGGCGCAGCTCTGGGAGCTGCTAGAGGCGGCGGGGCCCGACCGCTTCGTGCTACTGGAGCTCGGAGGCCGGGCCGGGATCACCCGGTCGGTGGTGGCCACCACCCGAGCCCGCGTCTGCCGTCGCAAGTACTGCCAGAGGCCCTGCGACAACCTGCACCTCTGCAAGCTCAACCTGTTGGGCCGGTGCCACTATTCGCAAGCGGACCGGTGAGTGCACCCGGAGGAGGGGAAGCTCTCCACCCGCCTGGCCGGGGGACCGTGGGGGCTGCTGCCTGGGGGAGCAGGGGGGAGGCGGACGGGGTGTTGCTCTCCGGGCCCCGCACCCTCCAGCTGCTCACCCACCTGCAGCGCCCGAGCTGCTCCCCTTCCGCAGTCTTTCCCCCTAATCCGACCAAAGCGATATTGGCGGGCAGAGACTAGGCTACCCCCTACCCTGTCGCACGCACACAGAATCCTAAGATTTGTACCAACCTAGAGAAGTTGGAAGCGGAGGGGGAGCCCAGACGGCTTCCACTCTCCAGTACTCGTGGTGTCTTTCCTCTCTACCCTGGACATGAGGCGCTCTGCCCAGAACCCTACTGCGCTGAGCACTCGCATCTGAATCCACTGCCCTACGCTCAGGACCACTTTTCTCCTGCTTAGCTACGGGCCGTGGCACCTGACCAGAATGGTCCTCCTAGGGTTTATTGGAGATGCAGTAGCCTTTCCCGGCCTCCTTCCCGTGGTTTGTGCGGTGACTAGCACAGGTGACCACCTGGTCTTGTGACCACTCTCCCAAATTGTTTTGAAATAATTCGACTTAACTTCTCGGGCAGCTGCTTCTGGTTTCCATGTGCTCCCTTTTTGCCTTCCCAAATATAGGTGCTTCCCAAGGCTTGAATCAAGCCTTTTGATTCAGTCTCTCCATGAGAGGGATCACTGGTTTAGGGTCACTTGTCACGTCTACCAAGATGGCTTCCAGACACACATCCCTTGCGCTGGCCTGTGCTGTAAATCCTGCTTCTGCGTCACTAGTGCCTGACCAGTGTATGGAGTGTTCGGCACATACGGACCAAACTCCTTCCAGGCAGGCTCTCTGGCCTTACCACCCTCCCTTCTCAGTCCGTCTTCCTTAATCACTAAGGCTGCTTTATATAATTCCTAATCCCTTCTGCCTTTCCCTCCAGGTTCTCTCTCTCTCTGTCTCTCTCTCTCTGTCTCTGTCCCTTCCCTTTCCTATTTCCTTTCTTTCTTTCTTTCTCTCTCTCTCTCTCTCTCTCTCTCTCTCTCTCTCTCTCTCTCTCTCTGGACTGATACTGGAAATAGGGCCTCTTGAATGCTAGACACTACCAAAGAACTATACCTGCAGCCTTTTAAAACCGTTGCATTTTGAAACAGGGTCTCACCAAGTTGCCCAGACTGGCCTTGAATTCATTCCATAGCCCTTGAATTTAAGTTCCTGAGCAGCTGCGATTACAGGCCTGCCCCACCAGGCCCATATTTCCTGGGTAGACAGAGTACTTTATAAACTTTGTTGGTCCTTAAAAATGTGAGTGACATCTTGCTTCAGAAATGGTGGTCGTCAATTTTTTTTAGCCATGCACTTAACTAACAAAATAACTCCAGTCACTCACCCCCAGGTATGTGTATCAAAACATGTAAAAGAGAAGTGTTTTAAATGTATGGAGTAATATTTAAAAAAAATTGTTTGGAGCGAGAATTCTTTCAGCTCACTAAAAATTTGAAGAAGTACCTCAGTGTGCCCCTTTATTTACATTTTTTGGTTTTGGTCTTTTGAGACAGGGTCTTCCTGTAGCCCCAGTTGGTCTGGAACTCACTATGCAGACCAAGCTGACCTTGAATTCACAGAGATCCTCCTGCCTCTGCCATGGGAGGTGCTGGGATTAAAGGCTTGTATCACAATGCCCAGTTTATTTAAATATTTTATGTTATGATGCAAGAATTTGAAAGCCTTTCCTAGTTATGGGAAGTCTTGTCTAGAAGAAAGCATCTAAGTTCCTGGAAAATGAAGAAATCACTAAGTAAAAGGAAGTGGGTAGAGAACAGAAAAGGAAGGAACCTTCTAGCACTGTACTGCCTGACAACAGGATTAGAAGGCTTTGTGACTTTTTTCTGTTCTTTCCTGTTCTTTATGAAAATGTCTTCAAGTGTTGACTTTCAGTAAAGTTTTAGTATTTTTCTACAGTTTTCAACATACTTAAAAAATGGAGGGAATTTCCATGCACCTATCATTTTGAGTCATAAGTTTTCAAATACGGACAGTCTTGAGACTGTCGTTTTTTCTCCTTCTCTGTCCCCAACTCCAGTGTTTTATCTTAAAGCAAATCTCAGCAATTATTTCCTTCATAAGCACTTCAGTATCCCAAACAGATACGGATCATATTTTAGTAATGCAATCATAGTACAATGATCACTTTTTTTCTTAGTTTTTTTGACACAGGGTCTCCCTGCAGCCCTGGCTAGCCTGGAACTTGCTATGTAGACCAGGCTGTCCTCAATCTCACTGAAATCCACCTGCCTCTACCTCTTGAGTTCAGAGATTAAAGACATTCAGCACTATGCCAGGCATACAATGATCACTTTGATTGCTTTTTAAATATTCTCTCTCTCTGTCTTTCTCTTTCTCTGTCCTTCTCCCTCTCCCCTTCTCCCTCACTCCCTCCTTCCCTTCCTCTCTTGAGACAGGGTCTCTTGGTAGCCCGGGCTGTTTTTTGAACTCCCTGTGGAGCTGAGTATGACCTTGAACTTCTGATCCTCCTGCTTCCATTTCCTGAGTGCAATTATATGCCTACACAACCATAGGAGGTTTGTAGGTGCTGGGTCTTGAAACCACAAGCACTTCACCAAAGGAATTCCATTCTCAGCACCCCAACAAATGTAAATTTATTATCATCTAATACAATTTGGTCTTCAAATTCCCCTGATTGCCTTATTAATCTAACTCGTACTTTCAGGAAAAAACAAAACAAAACACTATACAGACATTATCTATAATTGTTTTGATAATATATTCAATATATTTTTAGAAACTTTGTTTCTATTTGTTACATATAATATGTAGACAATTTTTAGTTTTATGATTTTTTTGTTATTATGTTTGCCAGGTTTGAGACAAAACCATTTTAAGCTCATAAACTGGGTTGGTAACTGTGGTTGGTAACACACACACACACACACACACACACACACACACACACACACACACACCTCAAGACTAGGTGTTGATGTGTAGCTCAGGCTAGCCTTGATTTTGGGATTCTCTTTCTTCTGCTTTCTTACCACTGAGATTGCAGGCAAGCTCCACCCCACCTGACTCTGGTTTAGCTATATGTTTAAAGTGCCTTTTTATATTCCTTTTGAATTTGAAAATTATAAACTTAATGTACTAATGAACAGAATGTCTTAAAATATTTTTTTTATTATTTTGTGTGTATGAGTGTATTGCCTGCATGTGTGTAAGTGCACCCATATCCTGCAATGCCTGTGGAGATCAGAAGAGGGTGTTGGATCCCTTGGAACTGGAGTTACTGATGGTTGTTAGCTGCCATGTGGGTGCTGGGAACTGAATTTGGGTCCTCTGCAAGAGCTGCCTGTGCTCTTAACCTCTGCGCCATTTCTCCCGCCTCCAGAGTGTCTTTTTTTATTTTTTTTTCTGTAGTGTCTTAATAAAGACATTTGGGAGGAAATTTTTTTTCTCCTCAGATCCCAAGAAACATTTTTTAACCAAGTATACTTTGTAATATTTTCCTCTTGTCAACTTTTACAAAATTTTGTCTTCTAAAACCTGACCCTCATTAGTCTAATGACTTTCTTTTTGAATCACTGGCTAATGGGGCCAGTTGACCAATTAATACCCACAATAAGGTACTGTATTTGTATTTTGTAATGTACTTTTTGCTGATCTTATGAAATTTCCTCTGCGATACTTTTATTTATAGATAGAAATTCTCTTATCCTGAAATTCCTGTCTGTTTTTTTGTAATGCTTTGAGTGATATTTTAGTTAACAACAGGGTTTATCCAGGTAGGTGTGATATAACTCTTTGGTCCCATGAGTTTGGATATTTCTGTTTGCTTTGATGATGTAACATCCCCACACATGAAGTTCAAATCCCTGTTCTGACACAAACAATAACTACCACTTACTGAACAAATAATTATGTACCAGACTCTGTGGTAAGCGCAGTAAGATGATAGCCTACTTAGTCTTTACCATAGTCCCTGAAAAAGAACACTTAAAATATTTATTATCATTTACATTATTGTGTTTGTGTACAATGTGCAGAAGAGGTGTGTGTCACCCATATGGAGATCAGATCCCATGTGGCGGCTGTCTTCTTCCACCAGGGATGGAACTTGGGTCATCAGTTTTGACACTTTAGGCAGCAAGTTCCTTTACTCATTGAGCCATCTCAATAGTCCCATTTGTTTTGTTTTATTTTTACCTTTTTAAATATTTATTTTTATTTTAAATTATGTGAATATGTGGAATATGTGTGTGTTTCTGTGTGAGTATGTACACTTGAGTGCAAATGCCTGGGGAAGCTAGAGCTGCTGGATTCCCCAGGAGCTAGATGTGGTTCCTGGGAACTGGACTCAGCTCCTCTGGAAGAGCAATATGTGCTCTTAACTGCTGAGCCACTTCTCCAGTCCCACCTTTTGTTGCTTTTAAGGAGACAGAGCCTTGCTGTCCATAATGACTATATAGTGAGTTCCAAGCCAGCTGTGGCTAAGGGAAACCCTGTCTCAAAAGACCAAATTAAAAAACAAAAAAAAACCCACATATCAAAATATTCAAAACATTAGAATTTAGTAAATCGCTCAGCGGTTAGTAATATAAACATTCATTCTATATCCCATTTAAAGATTTTTGTTTATTATTGTTGTTGTTATATGTGTGTGATATGTGTGTGAGGTCAGAGGACAGCTCTGTGAATTTTATTCTCTTCTTCCATCTTTATGTGGGTTCTAGGACTTGAACTCAGGTCACTGTGTTTGCAAGGCAAATGCTTTTAACACTGAGCCATGTTACAGGACCCCATTCTTTATCTTTTTATATATTTTGGTACATATCCAGAGTGTTTGTACTACCATGCATTTCAATGCTTTTCTCTTGATTTATGATACAGTCAACTAGTCCTCTTCCTGTCTGTCCACCCATACCCAGCTAACCAAAAGAAAATGACACTACAAACAGGAAAGGGGTGT